TGGTTTCTGAAAATTTGGACGTGATTTACTGATGTAATTTTGTTAAATTATGATTTGGATTGTTGAAAATATATGTTTTTTTTTTCATTTCATATGATTTTGGAATAATTTTAGTTTAGTTTAGATATCGGGTGAGGACATATTGTGAACCTATTAAATCATAAGTCAATAATGATGAATCTAATTTACTTTCTATGATCATTTCAATAGGCTAGTTGTAATTTGTATTGTTAAATTGGTTTTTTTTAATAGTGAAAACTGTAAAAATTTTAAGTTAATAAAATTAATTTTTTAATTAAAAAATTTAAAATGGCTCGGTATGATTTTGTGCGGTTTTTTAAAATCAAAACCTAAACCAAACTATTTTGAAACGATTTGGTTCGGTTTGAGGAAAAAGAAACCACGGGTCCATGTGGACCCGAACCAACAGTTTCAACTAAACAGTTTTGATTCGGTTTGTGATTTTGCTATTTTTTTGTGCAGCCCTACCCTTTTACCAGAGATAGAGATGACAATCGGGCTCGGACCACTCGTAGCTCGGCTCGAGGCTTGGGCCGAGCCTCATTTTTTAGGGCTGGCTCGAGCCAAGCCGACCCGTATTATTTAAAAAAAGAGTTAAAAATCTCGAGCCGGCCCGTATTATTTATAAAAAAAAGAGTTAAAAATCTGCAGCTTGTTGACAGCAAATTTGCTGCAACCGGCAGCAAATCTACTGCCTGGCAGCTAAAATAAGCTGCCAAACAGGCAGCAATAGGTATAGAAAAAAAATTCCAGAAATCGAGCTCGGCCCGGCTCGGTAAAGCCCGAGCCGAAAGCTCGGGTCAAGCCTTTATTTTTTGACCAAGCTTTTGCTCGGCCCGGCTCAGGCTAAAAAAAGCTCGCTTAGAAAAGCCCGAGCCGAGCTCGAGCCAAGAATTTTGGCTCGTGAGCCGGCTCGTTGACATCTCAAACCAGAGATGGCTATCATCTTCGAAGATCGCTTCGGCAATGGCTCCGGCGACTGTTCCGGTGATCACTCCGGTGGTCGCTCTGGCAACTATTTCGGCGATCACCTCGGCAAACTGCTCCGACGACCACTCCAGCAAATTGCTCCAATGACCACTCCAACGCCTACTCTGATATCTCTTCTAGGCACTGCTCCGGCTCGCCAATAGAAAAATCTCCAAAATTTGAAAACAATTTCTCTCTCTACACCCCACTGTTTGACAAATCTCCAAAAAATTGTGGTGGTCGTAATAGTGTATTGTAAGTGATCAGATTTGCACTAGTGACATCTGTGACCATACCTGTGTTATTTGTGACTAATTGTGACCAAATTTGTATTTAGCGTGACTATCTGTGATTATGCCAATCTCAAGTCACAACTGGTTATAATCACGAAATTGGTCACAACTGGTCACAATCAATACAAAATTGGTCACAAATAGTCACAACAAACACATACTTGGTCGTATAGGGTCACCACAAATAAATCTGCACACACCGCATACATGTGATTAACTGTGACCAACTTTGCCTTCGGTGTGACTAACTGTGATCAAAATTATATTCAAAATGACTGTCTGTGACCAAATCCACATCCCACCATCACCACCAAAGAACAACAGATCAGAAAAATCATGACACCCCCAATACCACCATGAGCACCACTGCATCTATTTCACTGTCTCCCACAATTACCATCACCACAGCACCCAAAAAATCGCCACAGCACCACTGCACAAAAGCACTCACAACACACCACTACCATGAGAAGAATTTAGCTTCCAGATGCTCTAAATTTTAAGGGAATTCCAATAGATCAACGTCGAATTTTGGTAATTTTTCTGCATTCCTCAAAAACACTGCCAGCACCACTTCAAAACCATCGCAAAATCAACTTAAAACCCACCAAAAGCCATCTAAAAATTACCTAAAAAACCACCACAAACCGCCGCTGCTTCGATGATGAGAGTGGTCAGATCGTTTTTCGGTGAAGTAAAATAGGATAGATAAATGAAGAAATCTCCAATGAGAAGGCTCGAGTCATCACCAGTCTTTACCATTGCTTTTGCAAGCAGTGGCAAGCGGTGTTGCAAAAGAAGCCATGGCAGGTGTGTTGCTTTTTTGGTCGCGGTGGTCAGTGAACTTTGTGGTGCCGGAAAAGGAGAGGGTTAGGTGGCTGATGGTAGAGAAAGTGATAGAGAGAGAGACGACACTGAGAGAGAAGCTGATAGAGAGACATGGTTAGGGTTACTTACAATTTGGGAATGAATTGAAATGGGCGTGAAGTCACTGGAGTACGTGGATAGTATATGTAGATTAGGTTTTATTAAATTCTTATTAATTATATTTATTAACATTTAATTATCACCTGAATTTTGAAATTAAAATTAACCTTCTCTATATTTGAAAATTAGTCTTTAAAGGTAGGTTTCTAGGTAATTTTCCCGTCTTTTATTAAAAATTAGTCCAATGTAAAAAGGGAACACCACACAAATCCTACATTTAAAAATCACATTTCACAACTAAAAAACATATAAAAATCTTTCAAAAATAAGGTGATAATTAAATTTATTAAATATTTAATTATAATATAATTAATCTTCTCTCTCTCCCACCCCACCCCAAATAATTTATCATACTAAATTTTAAATTCAAACAATTCTCTCTCTCTCAACCCAACCTCAACTCCGGCGACCCACCCTACTTCCGGCAACCTGCTCCGGCGAGAATTTCGGTGACTCGCCTCTATTCCAGCGACTGCTCCAGCGGCAAATTCTTCACCAGAAAATATTTCGACAACGACTTAGGCGATCGTTCCAACAAATGATGCTGCACATTTTTTCATTTTTTTTTTTTTTTATAAATGACTTTTGACCAATTTCATTAGATTTGTGACATGTACCTATTGTGACCTGTGACCAATTCTATTAAATCTGTGACCTAATCATGCAGGATGAATATTACATATGATCAATTTCAAAATTAAGAAAATAAAGTTTGAAATTTCAAAAATCATACTATTAAAATTTTCAGCCAATTATTCCAGCGGCCTTCGGCAACTACCTTTTTTCCCTTTTTTTTTTTTTTGGAAATGACCTGTGACCAGCTTTATTGACTTTGTGACCTAATCAGGTGAGATGAATATGCATATAACAAAACCTGTATTGCATGTGATCAAATTTTTTTATGACAAGATCTATGTTATATGTAATTAATTATGACCAAATTTATTTTCGGTGTGATTGTTTGTGACCGTTTAATTTATAACTGTATATAACCAAGTCACTATTTGTGTAATCTGTGACTAACTGTGACCATTTTTGTTTTCAGTGTGACTATCTGTGACAGTGTAATTTACGGTTGTCTATAACCAAGTCACAAACATGTATTATCTGTGACTAACTATGACCAAATTTATCCTAATTGTGACTAAATGTAATCAAATTTGTATTCAGTGTGTCTGTCTGTGACTAGGTCAACCTTTTAACTGTGACGAAATATGATCAAGTCACAATCAGTTACAATTAATATAAAATTGGTCACATTCAGTCACAAATCACAAATTTTATAGGTTGAAACTTTTTTATCGATCAAAATTATTAAATTAATTGATCACCACTTTTTTGGTCACAAGTCACACATTTTATAGGCCAAAACTTATGTATCATCACTTATCAGTCACAAATTGCAGCTAAACAGCACCTTTTATACACTCTAAATCACAACTTTTTTCTAGATGTTGCCACTACCAATTTCCAATGCCAAAGCCAGTACACGGTCCCCGCCACCGCACCACCAACCCGTTCATCTAGTGTGTCGCCATTCCCAACATCGACAACCACCACCTCAAAGAATCACATGTACTACCAGCAACGGAACCAGTGGCACTACCCCACACCACACCATGAGCGTAGCTCTAATCCCATTCAAATCAACACACGTCATATTTCCCGAGCAGATCGCAGCTCTCATCACATTTTAACGGGATGACAATGAATAAAAATATCATTACAATTATCATACAGAAAATGTGAAATTATTGGGTATAGGAAAAAATACAAATAAATCAAATCATGAAGACTGAATACAATACAATAATTAAAAGTTAGTATGAAAGCTAGATTCCAGAATGAATAGTCAATTGTACGTAATTATCAATGAATACTAAAATCAAATTGATCCAGAAGAAGAAGAATTTACGATTTTCACATACAAATCACAACTGAACCATAGGGAGTATTGAAAGCAATCAACGTCACATAAATTTTATGCCTTTTACAAAAAATTCCTAATTTTAAAACCTCCAAAATGCCTGGATGTCCAAAAAAGTACTGCAATTTTAAATTCTTCTTCTTCTTCATTAGCTTCTTATTGTACAATAATTGCTAATAATTACAAAGCAAAGAATAAGTTAAACAGAGAGATGAAATCATGTGAGATTCTTATGCCACATCGTCTGGTGGCAGAGAAAGAATCGTAGTGATTGAGGCACTCATATTACGAGATCACCACCACCACCGCCACCTTCTTCATTTCCCACAAATATTCCCAAACAGGCAACCGCCGCTACACACGACACAGCGGCGCGGTGGATCTGCTTCACCGAAGCAGCAACGACAGGCAGGCATCTTCACAGCCGTTGCTTCATGCATAGCGACGACGTACACTGCGACTATGAAGAATTTGAGATGGCCATCCAATTCTAGAGAGAGAGAAAGAGAGAATGAGGGGAACGAGAGACGGAGAGGGAGAGATTGGGTGTGGAGTTAGGGTTGGGTTGGTTGAATTATTAGGAATATATTTATTTAATAATTTCTAATTACCACCTGAATTTCGAAATTAAACTTAATCCCTCTTATTTATGAAAACTAATTTTTAAACCCAAGTTTCTGAGTAATTTACCCTTAAACTAAAGCCCGTGTTCAAATTGACAACACTGTGTCCAAAATCAACAACAGCTCAAGCCAAAACAAAAATATTAAAACTATTAGCCCAGCCCAAATCCAAACCTATTCTCACTCTCTCGCTCTAAGTTTCCTCATCAAACTCGCTCAATCTCTCTCTCTCTCTCTCTGATTATCGAGCATCGCAGACGCTAGCCCTGAGAAGCTTAATTTCTGGGAAACTTCTTCTCCATTGTTTCAAGGTAGGCTATATAAGCTTTATCTCTATTAACTCTTTTACATTTTTTTTCTTCTCCATTATTTTACTGCTATCATTTTGCTATTTTCAGAAAATTGTATTGGAAAATTTCATTAAAGCTGAAATTTATTTAAGTTATGTGATTGGAACTTAGGTGTTGGGCGAATTTATATTTAGGAAGAGCATGAGCAGTTATAACGTATATTTTTGTTGACTAATGGTATCATATTCCGATTTTAAGTTAGGATTACTAGTGGAAGATCCGATTTTTTAATTTTGAGACTAGCGTTAAATGTTGAAACTTTTAATTATTTAATGGAAAATACAACCTTTGAATCAGTGAGGCTGCATGAAGATCAAGTCTCTTATACTTGCTTTAAATGAGGGAGGTTTTAATTCGTTAATGGTAAAGCTCAACCTTTGAATCAGTTAGACTATAATGAATAATTTTTGTTGATTGACAGTGTTATACTTCATTGTTAATTCAAGATTGCTAGGCTATACTACAATTATAGCGAGGAGTATCAAGTTTTCTCAATGGACACTAACTGTGTGAAGTGTGAAATTCTAACTGAAGAATTGGCGAAGGAAAATCTTTGTATCAGTAGCCTTGCTATATTTCAATAAGTGGAAGATTCTGTTCATATTATATAATTCTTCTATGCAATATGTTTGCCTTGTGCATTTGGATTTAAAGTGAACCAAAATAGATTTTTTCTAATTATATTTTAGGTCCAAAAACCCAGTGCTTAGATTCTTTCAAGGAAGTGCACAAATTTTAGTCTATAACTGCAACCTGATTTTGAGGTAATAGTGTATGTTGCTTGGCTTTCATCTGTGCAATCCAAGAAGTTGCAATCTACTTTCATCACTAAGTCGTTGCGCTCGGTTGAACTTGTTGCCTTGTCGACATAATGAATTATTTTTGGATTATCATTGTAGTAATGGACCATTGATCATTTTTTTTTATTTTTTTATTTGCGGTTTGTAAGAATCTATCGAGAAGATGGACATGAATTATATTGCATATGAATTTTATATTTCAAAACCTCCTCGAAATAACTTCAAATGATTAGTTTGACTTTAACATCATATATACATCTATTACATTGACATCTGTAAGTTTCAGCCCTAAATTCCAGGATCCGTCCCTGGTTTTGACTCTATTTGAGAAGCATCATCCTATGGTAACTCACACAGCAGGATTGATTGTATAACTTGATGTTCCTAATGCAGAAGATATTCTTCTTTCTTAAATTCAAATCCATATCCATCTCCCATTTTAATTCTTCTACTGTTCTACAAGATATGAATATCAAAGAACTGGAAAAGGAAACTACATCTAACATGCTTCATGCTTCTGGTCTCTGCATTCTGCTTTCAATCTACATTTAAGAACCTATTAAAGTCTAATTGCATACATGTACAACACAGTAACCTGTACTACAAATTTCAAAAGTATGAACACGAAAGGAAAATACATAATTCATGTCAGTCCTCACCCCACTCTATCAGCTTATACGTACAAGTTAATTTTGCAACACGTAGAGACAAATAAATAAAAGATAACAAAAAAACAGAAACATTCCATATGCAAAACTGCAATTCTTTTTCTAAAGATCCCAACTTCACAATATGCAAATTCATATCCCTGGTTAAATAATTCAATTCCTTCCTGCTCTTCACACCTTCAATATATAGATAATATGATTCCCAAATAATGCATAATCTTCAGTAAATAAGGTCGAATCAGTGTATTAGGCATTTTAAATTTACACATACTAATGAAAACCATTAACTTGTAGTACAACTATCACAAGTTACACAATTTGTTAATCAAATATTAACCTATCATTTCATCCTCACATTTTGCATCATCTTACTATGAAGGAAATATGTCCTTAACAGCAGAGGCAGCTGTCAAGTGTGTATTTCTCAGTCTCCTTCTCCCTCTTCAACCTAGTAGTATCCTCCAACTCCAGCAATGCCTGCTGGTCCCTGGGTGCTCTCTCGAAAGTACTCCCCACGAAGAACACAAATGGAGTAGGGAAAAGATTTCTCTAAATCCTGAACCTCCTTCTCAGGCTTCCCATTCAACCTATCAGATAATCTAATCACATCTTCATGTACATTTCCACCTTGTTTGCCAGGGCATCTAAGTCATCCACCTCGCAGTTCCCAGAGGGGCAGTCCTCAAGCCAAACCACCTCTGTCACTAAGTAAGGCTTGGTTCACACAAATTTGGTGACACGAAAATCCTGCCCTTTACATATTAAAAAGAGTCAATCATCCACAACGTAGGCCACGTATCATTATGCAGTACTGGAACTTGAAAATCTGTAAAGGGAGCATAGCCCCCCGGAAAAAGAACAAGTGGAAGGGGAAACGACTGCAAGTGGCAGAGCTAGCACCCGGCTAGGAGGCGTGGCCACGCGTGTTGGGTCCACCGGAGTCGCTGTTGTCGGTCGGAAATGGAGAGAGAGCCAACAGGAAAGAATCAGAAAAGGAGCAGTGGTTGAAGATGAAGATGGGCCTTTTTTTTTTTAATTTTAATGGTGGGCTTTTTAATTATGAGGAAATTACAAAATTCCAGGCATTTCAAAATCACAATATAAAAATCAGGTGAGGAAGTTTTTTATTCACAATTTAGGTATTGATTTAACTATTAATATTAATATAAAATATGTCAACCCTATCTCATCTCAATCCAATTACAAATTCAAATTCATTTCTCTCCACTTAATCCACACCTCTAGTGTCGCCACCCACTATCGAAGACCACCATTGCAGAGCGGCGATGAGTGCTGTGGAGCGAAGCAGCCAATGAAGACCGCTTATTCTCGCATAGTGGGTTCATGCACTGAGATAACGATGACTATCGCCATAGTAGGAGAGGTTGTGGCGATGGTCGCTTTGGTCATGGTCCACGTGGATGTTGGGAAGGACGAGGTTGTGGTGGTTTTGAAGGAGGTAGAAGTGGTGGTGGAGGGTTTGGTTAAGGAGGTCTTGGTAGAGGTGCTAGAGGTCATGGTTGAGGATTTGGGGTTGGTGGTGGAGTTGGTGGAGGTGCTGGAGGGAGGTCTTGGCGGAGGTGTTGAAGGAGGTGATGCTGGAGGATGAGGATAGGGGGTGGTGGAGGATTTAACGCAGGTGGAAGAGTTGGAGGAAGTGCTGGAGAACGGGCAGGTGGAGGTGGCGGATTTGGTGGTGGTGGAGGAGGAGGTAGAGGTGGTGGTGGTATTGGGGGTAGTTCTTCTTGTCATGGTGGAGGATTTGGAGCAGGAAGTGGTGCAGACGGTGGTGCTGGCAATTAGTGATGGTGATGGCGGTGGTGTTGTGGTGCTGACAACGGTCGCAGGTTGAGGGTGGTTACAAGTGACAGTGGCAATAGTGGTAGTGTTGGTGGCGTGGTGTGTGACACAGTATCTAATGTATGTCACCAATTATTTGATTTTTTGTGATCAAGTATTAAATCGTTACCTTAAAATTTGATGACTTTTGAGTTCGAGTCCCTTCAGGGCCATTGAGGTGAGTACTCGACTATAAACTTCAGGGCCTGTGGAATTAGTCAAGATGCGTGTAAGTTGGTCCGGACACCCACGGTTATAAAAAAAATTTGATAACTTGACTGGTAGATAACCTGTGATTTATAAAATTTTTGATTTATGATCTCAAAATAAACTGTGACCTATAAAATTTTTAATTTTTGATCTCGAAATAATCTGTAACTAATTAATTTGATAATATGTGACCAATGAATAAATTGTGACATATAATTATGTATCTGTGACTATTAATTGTAAAATTGTGATTTTATTATATTTTTCTAATAAATATTTTTAATTAATTAATTATACACACACACACACGTGAATTTTGAATTTTTAAACTATAAACCTGACTTTTGAATTGGTGTAAACCATACACCTAAGTTTTGATTTTTCCCCTTTCATTATTGTGTATTGCGCCTCTTGTTCTTATTAAAAAAAAAAAAGCCCCAAACGCATTCTTATATCCTCATATTTCAATTGCTAAGTAAAAAAATGCAAACTTGAATCTCAATTACTCTGTTCCGCCTTGAACTCTCACAGTGGCACCCATCACCAGCAGTCCCACAGTCCCAAGCCTTGTCGCCGGTCGCCTCCACTGCCCACCAGCCTTCGTGATTATGACTTGTTAGTCCTTTTATTTTTTAATTTTTTTTGTTTTTCTTCTTTCAAAGTTTAGTTAATTTTTTATTTATCATTTGTGATTTATATTTTATAAATTTATGTTTATGAGTTATGGATGTGTTTATGAGCCTATAGTGTACTGTTGACTTTGAGGATTTTGTGAATTCAAGAATTTGAGAATATTGAGGATTTTGTTGTTAAATCTGAGGTTTATGATTTATGAAAAATGGGAAATTTGTGATTTTGAGAATACTTCATAAATGTGGATTGTGAATTTGATTAGTAAAATGATAAATTAGAATTTAAACTTGATAGTCTGATAGTTTAATATGTGATAAACTTCTTGTATATGATTTCTACATTTTAGTGCATTCACATATAGATTAGAAAGTTTTTAATATTATTAAATTAAGTATTAATAAATGACCTTGTTATTACGGTCATTAACTGTCGACGATCAATTGTCAACCTTCAACGACTGCCCTAGATGACGTCGAATCTTGGATCTGCCACATCTCCACCACATCATCGGATTTCAGGGAGCTGGTGTGGTGTTTTCCAAAAATGAGGAAGATGAGTAGCAAAGTGAGTTGGGTTTCCGCCGTTGATGGCGGCGATGAGAGAATGACTGAGTAGTAGTAAAAAATTTATATGGGTTTTGGTTTAAGAGGCAATTATACGGATTTAAGGGAGATTTATGGGAAATTCTTGAAGAAGAAGGCAATAGTTGATGCAAAGCCATTTTCCTAATATCTATAGAAGCAAACAGTGAATAAACAACCAAGATAGAGCTTTTAGAAAGGGAAAATGGAAACTGAAGAAACTGATAAACAGAAGAATTATTCATTGGCATGTGGTACTCGAAATTTGTTGTGATAGTGAGCAACTAAGAGTGGAAAAGTCTTAATCTGCATTTGTACGTTTGATAACTAATGTAATTTTCTGGACTATGAAAATGGTGTGGATAATGGAGAAAAATGGGGTTGAAGGAGTTGAGATTTTTGTGTTTTGGGTACGAAAGGTATACACGTGGAAATGTGTTTATCTATTCTTTGGGTGTTTGTTTGGAAATAAACTTAGATTCATTTGCAGTTATTTGAGTTACTCAAATTTTCTTCCTCCATTTTTTTCCCCCAAGGTACTTTAGTTTTTCTTTGAGTTTCCTCCTCTTTCATTGGACCCAAGTGAATGAGGCAATTCAAATCGATGGTTGAGTCTTGTTCGATATTAAACAAAGGTTCACTCAGGTTCAATATTGAAAAACAAAATGGGGAGAGAGAGGAAACTATTTTATTAGGAGGCTTGTGGTGTACATAAAAACTTAACAAAGTGGACAAGGGACATATTTTTGTAGTTTTATTTATATATCTTTTAGTGCATACAAAAATTCAAAATCGTGGTGGAACAAAAATACAAATAGTCACCATTTTCTTTTTTTTTTCTTTTGTTTTTTTTGGTGTATTGTATATTTAGTTACGAAAAAAGGTATATGATATCTCTATCTCCTCTTACACATATTTAATGGTATATATATGTGTGTGTGTAAATATGTACATATATATCAATTTACAAATGTATAACTCCTCAAGAATTTCAATTGCGCTCATATTTCATCACTGTAGGAATTGGGTTCAAGCTTCCCCAGTCTCTTCTCATCAATGGACTCCTGACGTATACGAAGGAGTGCGGTTCATTTGAGAAATTCCTATCTTTCTCTATATATATTTTCAATTTAATGGAGTGAACAGTAGGAACCGGATTGTGAACCGTAGGATCTGGATAAGTGTGAAAACAAGGTCCAGAAGAATTAACAGTATGGATTCCCTTGTTTAGAAAAGTAGAGATAGATATATGTTTGCTCAAACTCCAAAATCCCCGATTAGACCCCAGGTGGATCTACCCTTGAGTGTAAACGGTGACTTACCCCACTAGACCTCAGGTGGTTGCACCGCTGTTGACAAATACATGCATTCTTTGAAATGTAGAAAACCATGCATTTTTAATATGTAAAATTTAATTTTTTAATAAGGATAGTTAAGCAAAGCAAGCTTTATTTATTTTTTAATTAGAATGGTTAAGTAGTAATATTTTTGTCTATTTGATTTGTTTTGCCTTTAGTATATTGGAGGGAGATATTGCAATTTGTGGAAACGTAGTGAAGGGCAAGGTCATGACAGAAGTAAGGCAGGCAATGGAAGTTAAAGAGGGGCATAGGAAGAGGAAAGTAGGAAACAAGAAAGCTAAAAATGCAAAGAGAAAACAAAAAATGATGCCTCAAGGTGTTCAAAAGAAGGTGAATATTGACAAAAGAATGAAAAAATTGTTTCAGAAAAGAGCGAGGGAGTACAACTCAGATGATGATGATGTGGAGGACGAGGAGAAGCTTGAGCAGTCTGTACCTTCGACTCGAGATAAGTTTAAGAAAGATGAATTCGAAAAGGAGTTTTCTGATGATGACGATGGAGTGGAGGATAATTGGGATGAAGAAAATGATGTTTCAGAAGATGAAGATGGGAAAATTCAGCCAGGAACCATGAAGTTTTCAGAGGGTATCAAAGCATTTAATGTCGCATTCAAGAAAATCTTAAAAAAGACTGCTTCCGGTGATGTATTGGTAAGATGCTGGGCTTTTGTATGTTTACCTTTGATGCGAAGCTCATAAAACTCCTTTTATGTCTGCAAAAGTTTGTAATAAGAAACTTCACTTAATTTTGATATGTTTGCAGGGCCCTGTATTATCTGCCCATAAGAAGCTTCTAGCAGAGAAGCTTGTCGAAGAAGAATTAGAGCGGAAGGATAAGGGGGAGGCAAAGAAGGAGAAGCGCTCGGTATTGCTTTCTGACTTGTTATGTACTGTGGTGTTATTTTTTAAGGTTTTGTAAATTATTTGGTTCATTTTGATGTAAAAGGTCCAAGAGAAGGGTCATGTGAAGCCTGCCAACTATTTGGACTCTCATGAGAAGTATCTATTAGGAATTGCAACTAAAGGAGGTACATAAAGTTGTTTTGGTGGTTAAATTTGTGTTCTGAATGGAGATACATATTGTGATTTCAAGACTTCTTTTGTTTTTCATAACATACATGTACCATGCTGGATTTTCAGTGGTCAAGTTATTTAATGCTGTAAGTTCTTATGTCTAGTTTGGATTACACACTTATTTCTTGTCTGACTTCTTTTCTTTTTTCACACCATCATAGTTTTCTGTGTTTGAACTCATTATTTCTTATCCGTGCAGGTAAACAAGGCCCAGAATGCTCAGAAAGGATTAAATCCTTCAAGGTCAAAAGATGAAAAAGGTACCAATCGATACAATAGTCTCATTTTGAAACTAAATCAGTATTTTTAAATCTTATGATTCTTCTCGCGGTTAGGGATCCAGTTTAAGGAGCGTTCGGTAAAACTATTAAGTAACTTTTGAGGAGAAATAGTATTGGGTCCCACTACATGTGTGGTTAATTAATGTGTAGTAGTTGCGAACGCGTCGTTCAAATTAATTTCTGAATTTAACTTAATAGAAAAAGTAATTTATTAGTAGCTTTTAATGTTTGGCAAACAGAGGCTTAGTGATATTTAGTTTCAGAATTTCTTTTCATGCCTTTTTGTGAGCATATAATTGATTAATCATGTCATCAATTATTGTTTAACCTTTTGAGCATGCTCATTATAGTCTTCCAAGTACCTATCAAAAAAATGATAAGAGTCTTCCAAGTTCCACCAGTTAAATTTAATATCCTGCGAATATTGTTAATCAACAGGAACATGTATGTCTGAATGTGGTGAACGCTACTAAACGTATTTATTGGCCTTTTTAGGACTAAGGCAAGTTTATATCTCGAGCATTGCCACTCTTTGGCAAAGTTGTAAAGAGTGGCATAAAGTAACTGCTTTTTGAATAATTGGTTGGATTCATTTGTCAATTCAATCTAACGTGTGTTTGCATATTTATTAGTTCCAAATGTTTTGTTTATGTCCTTCTTGTTGTGTTGTACTGTGGGTTTATGGCACTCTCATTGGACATAATTGATGTCGGTGAGTTCATGCTGCAAGGTATTGATTGGATCTTGGTAGAGGTGATTTGTTGTCACTTGAATAAAGTTAAACTAATGAGCTCATCATGGGTATCCTCCAAGATAGACATAAAAGCTCCCTGGGGGGGGGGGGGGGGGGGGGGTTCACTCCCCTAGTTCACCTCACTACGGGCGTAGATCAGCTGAGCTATGAGCTTTGCACAGTTCACCATCAGACTGCTCCGTCCATTGCTTTGTGCTTTCAACCCCAAGTTTGCGTTTGCTCATTAAGCTTGAGCACATTAATGTCTTCTCAATATAGTTAAAATCCTTCGTGTAACATGATACACAATGCCATTACAAATGTTACCGTTTGAAAAAATATGTACCCTAGTTCAAGAAGTTCAAATTAGCAAGAGGAGCTGGGGTCTTCAAATCTTTAACAAAATTCTAGACAGAAGCTATTCTCACAGAAATAGCATTTTATTTGTATGCATATTGAAGTTTTACAATGTCAACATTAGTGAGATTACGAACTCATTAAGGATCTGAGACTTGTTTCCTATACAGGGTCTCTCTCTCTCAGTATAACTAGTCTGTTCATTTCTTCTAGAAGAGTTGCCTGTTCATCTTGGACCCAAAAAGCTAAAAGATTTTCACGGTCGAGAAAGCCTTAAAATTCCTAATTTTTTTTCTATTTTTATGGAGACTATATCAGTATGTCCTATTAATCATCTAGCATTCTAGGGGGTTTGAGTTATATCTGTATGTTTCTGAAATGAAATTAAGCTCCCATTTGGTGAGGATTAAAATCGAATTTTTGGCAGATTTTGATAAAAGTTGATGAAATGTGTGGTTGAAAAGTTGTGAAACCCTAAAATCTATGGTTAAAATTAATTGTTGACTTTCACTTAGATTAAAATCTAGGTTTTAATTGGTACCAAACTGGGGCTAAATATTGATATTTGCTTGAACTATGAATACGCTGTCATTTCATATCCTTACTGATTCGTGATTGTGATCATGTCTAATTGCATTGTTCGATCCTTATCAATGTGCTTGAAATAATGCCAGTTATAAAGAAGCGGAGGAAGGAAGCCTTCTTTACAGAGTTAGGCAAGGCAGCTTCCCAATCTGCTGGGACTGTTGCTAAGGTTCTCTCTCGTCTCTGTCTCTCTTTACTCAATTTGCCATTCTATTGGGAGGAAATATGGAACTTTTGAAGTTGAATTTGCTTTACTAAAGGGATCACAATTTGACTTCGATCATTATGGACTAGTACGGAGCCCTAGAGAAGTGTATTTAAATTTAACAGCCGGAATGTCAACAATGAAAAAAACCCTATTTAGTGAGATTATATGAGCAAATGCCCAAACCAAAATATGTTATTGTTATGGGAGCTTGTACTGTGACAGGAGGGTTCAGGGAGTTGATTTTCACTATCAAATGTCTATGCTTTGTCACGTACAGGTCGGCACATCTAGTAGCTCAGTGGATGGTGAAGGACCTGCATGGGCCCCTTTGCGTGATAATTACATGTTAACAAATTCCAAGTTGAAAGATTGGGATAAAATGCAGGTAGGTTTTCCAACCAATATCTCAGCCATTTCAGTTTTGTTAAAGCATGATGCACCCTTCCTATTTCCTGTAGTATTTAGTACATGTTTGGCTAAGCTTAATAAGTAAATAATTTTGTTTTCCTTGTTTGGATGCTCTTCCTCTGCTTTTAGGACACGACGACAGGAGATGACTTTAGGAGGCCATCAGACTCAGGTTCATCATCAGATGATGAATAGTCTTGAAAATTGAGATACTAACTGGATTGGTTGGAGCTGGAAATGAAACTTTCGAGATAATTAAAAGAACCTATGATCTGTTTCCCGATGACCTGTAGGGGAGAAAAACTAAGCTATTTTCTGTAATGTTCCCATCACAAGATTGATTGGTTTAGCTGACAGCAGGGGGTGTGTTACAGAAAAACATTTTTCTTTTTATTTTTTTCTATGTATTGCATATAGTCAGCTAAATCATTCCAAGTCTTTGAAAGTTATGTTCTTTTTATAGCCAACAAGATATAAAGAAATGAATGTGTGTTGGGTGTGCTAATTTCCTGATGGTATGTATAGAGGTAGAGCAAAAGTGGCTTTTCAAGCACATGATCTCCCGTCCTAACAACTGCACTTCTCCGTTCCCTAACCTTGAATGCAAGTGCTTTTATCATATTGAATTCTTTCAGCCTGAGCTTTGCGTTAGATTTTGATTTTGATTGGGGACGAGAATGTTACAGCAATCATAGGTTGAGGATGTATTTGAATAAGAATTGTATCTTAAAACGTGCTTGTCTGAATCTTAAAATTTGCGGTGATCAACTCCAGTCGCCAGCATATTATTCTTATACCCAACGAAAAAGGAAATTTTAAGTTTAATTGTCGATTTTGACTAGAAGTGAGAGGACTAGTTGTAAACCCTCTTTCCCCTCTCTTTGGATAGTGGATCGGAATTTATTTCCCCTTCACCGTAGAAGCTACAGATTAAAGAGATTGAGGTGCATTTCAACCAATACGTGACGTCGCAAAAGTATCATTGATACGGAGGACAATTCCATTTCTATCGAATGGAATGTACCAAAAGTTGTCCCCCCCCCCCTCCCCCTCTTCCAATGCACGCGGGCATCGCATGAATATAAAAATCCTCAAATGTGGTTTCCACTCTTATTGTGAGTAGTAGGTAAAGAACTAGATAAAAAATTATGTACATATAGCATTATTCATGATATGGAGTATTGGATAAAAAAATGAAGTATCGTAAGCGGATCTTTAACTTTTTTTTTTTGCTTTATTGATCTTACACATTGCTGTTGTGCTAATAAAGATGCTGTAAAAAGAGATAAGTGTAAAGAAATCATGGATGGTGAAGCTGACGAAAGGTAGGGAAAAAGCAATGGATGCTTTATTTTATTCTTGATTCCCTTTCTTATCTCCTTCCCGTTTAAATTTTTGTTTTGCTCCTAATTTATCTATTGTTTGAAGTTAAAAGAGAGAGAATAAATAAATAAAAGAGCTAAGTGGTGGTTTGATTTAAAAAAAAGGAAGTGTTAATTCAATGATGAAATTGTTTTATACCACGAGTATATGTTTGGTACATAATATTCATGTGTTGTATAGTATAACGAACAAAATTTTAACTTAATTTTCTCATTTAATTCTATTTAAAACACCTAATTAATATTATCAAACATGCATATATTGTTTACTAACATGTATAATACGTTAAATAGACAATTTTAACATTTTTGACCTTGTCCATTCCATTCTATTAAAATTGCCATAAAAATTGGAGTCTAGTTTTCAGGTACGATTTTGTAAATTTCTCATAAAATAATGAATAATACTGAATGACTAATTGACTTTCCTTTCTTTTTAATGCATGACAAAATAAGAAAACAGCAAGAAAGAGGAGGGAATTGAAGAGAATAAGGGAAAAATCGGAAAAGCAGCAGAAATTCAGGGGGAGAGGGGAAGGAAGATGAAGGATACACCAAAAACCAATCTCAATTCATTATAATCATCAAACTGTCTCGACTTTCCAGTTACCAACATATAAATGACAAAAGAAAACCTAATATTTACGGGCTTGGGCCAAACCCACTAGACAATTCTAATGAAATAAAAAGACATCAATAAAGAAAACAAGAAGTAAAATAATTGGGCCGATGTCCACATTAACTTTTCCGGGGTGGGAGAAAAACTCGACTCTGTCGAGTGGACAAATCACAAAAGCTGCAATCAAGTTGATATCCAAAATGCTTTTAAGTCATGCCACGGAGGATGATTTTTTTGACGAACCAAGTATTGAAAATCAATAAATGATGACAATGTCATTTGCAAATTATCCCCAAGCATATGATCTGACCAAGATGAGCAGGGCGAAGGAAGATCTTGCTAACTCCTATAAATTTCCAATGAGTCTGGATCACTCTGTTGAAGTCTCCTTCTCGGGATCCATGTACCATCATAATCAAGTCGATCCATCCAACGAATAAAAAATCACTGAATTTCTCTATCATTAGTCTACACAATCTGATCATTTAATTTAACGTCAATCTTATCCTTACATGGTGTGATAAGTGGTGTTGGAGTAGAAATAACAAAAGATTCAGTGTAGAAAGTCTCATGTAGAGGTAGAAAATGACCATTAGAGGGGTTAAAATAGCATTTGTAAGCAACGAAGTCTTCAACAGTTAAAATAGAGTGGTGGCCAAAATATGATAAAAGATCAATGACACATGCATTTGAACCAACATGCTTCAAAATTTCATAAGGACCAGCACTACAAACTTGCAATATAACATAATCCCCAATATTAAATTCAAAGCTTATGCAAATCAGCTTGAAGTCAATATAATGCATTATTTGCTTCAAGTTGTTTATTGATCTTAATATGCAAGTTATGAAGATGTGATACAACTATCTCAACTTAGATAGACACATGAGCATGTGGGGCATGGGAATAAGGTCTAAAGTTTTCCTAGGTTCATAACCATGAATAACTTCAAAGGGCCTCGTACTTATAGATCAATTCACAAAATTGTTATATGTAATTTGCACTGTTGAGAGGATCAAATCTCAATTCCTAAGATTTTCCTTGAAAATGGCATGATTACACAAGTCATCAGTTCCTTTGGGTTGGGTAAAAGTATGATACAAAACATTTGACTGAAAGGTATGGGGAACAAGGGGTACAATACCTAGATTCATAAGAAAAGTCTGAATACCATCTAAGGGGGTGTTCTCACTATCATACAATTCATCAAATTCTTCAAGTTTAGGTTTATAGTTTTTATCTTTCAATCGCTCATCTCTTATATTCTTTTGTTCTTCAATGACTAAGACTTGACTAGGACATTCAGAAGAGATGTGATCAAAGTCATTACAGTTGAAGCATTGCAAGTTAGATGAAACTCCTGAAATTTCAAAAAAATTACTCTTATTTTCCAACACATGAGGAACATTAGACGGAAAAAGTCTTTTGATAGACTTAAAAGGAGGCAAGGATGACGAGATTGGTGGACAATGGTAATCGCGATTTCATAAGGAGTACTGTTAAGTAACTCATAATCTTGGGCTAAAGAGTAAGCGTGATCAAGAGTAGTGATGCCTCGAAAGAAAAGCTCAAGCCTAAATTCATCTCTTAGACCTTGTATAAATCTATTCAAAATCAGGGTCTCATCCTCAACAACATGACATTTCATTTGAAATTCTTCAAATTGAGCAATGTACTCAATTACTAGCCGATTCCCTTGTGTAAGGGTGTTCCATTGGGTAAAAATTCATGATCTAAGTAACCATCAAAAGTAGGAGTATCTAATTTAACGTCTCTAAAGAAACGTTCCTTATGACGAGGAAGAAAATGGGTACCATGATGACCATGGCCTCGCTCTTGCTTACGAACTTGATCCCTATCCTTACGATCGTATTGAAAATATTTTTGATCGCCTTGTTGACGACAATATTGTCTGTTGTGGGACACTTCAGAATTATTAATGTCAGTCGAATGAGAAATTTGATTAAAATTATTCAAACTAGCGACTAGATCTCTACTTTTTTCACAAGTAATAGCTATCTCGGTTTGGACAACTACTAATTGAGTTTGTAAGTATTGCTGGCTAGTGGTAAGTTGAGCTAATTGTCTAGTGAGTGCATCAAATTGTGAAGGGTCTATGTTTAAGTATTGAAACTAGAAGTGACAAGACGAATAGTCGACCACTATGCATGCACTGTAGTAGCAACTAAATGACGTGCAATACAGAGATCAATGACTATTCAACTACTATGCATACACTATATAATAGTTAAATGACGTGCAATAGAGAGATCAATGAATAATAAATGCAAGCAATGGAAAATAGCAACTTGAATCCCTTTTTTTATTTTAAATTTTGGGGTTAAATAAATCCAAAGCAAGCTAATACTGTCGGTACATGTAAAATAGCAAAGCAAGGGTCAAACATTAGTCAAATTCTCCAATCACGTTGATAAGTAGAGAACAATGGCAAGTCAACTTACTCAATAATTCCTTGGGGTTTAAGGCTAAAATTATGAAGATAACAACAACACAAAGAATTAAATGATGCACTTTAAAATGAATAGTAGTATAGACCAATAATAATTAGAGATCGAGATCTCCCTGTTGTTTAGTTGCATAAATTGCTGAGGTGTGGCCCCAGTTATGCTCGTGTCCTTTCTTTCGTGTCAAATGTTTCAGCTCTTGAAATCACCCTAGTTATTGTTTGAGCAGTGAAGTAGTAGGTGATAGATGAAAAGATGTCGTCCTGGCATAATCAGTGGTGTGGTGGAATGTTGGAGAAAAGTAGAAGCAAGGTGGTGGTGGTAGTATTTGTCCTCTATGGGTTTGGAATAGTAAGTGTGGCACGATTTGTGGCTGGGACTATGCGATAGCGGTCTTAATCGTGGTTATTGGTTGGTAATGCGGTGGTGAGTGCGGGCTGGTTGCTGGCTTGGCGGAGGGACGACTTGAGAGACGATAACGAGGGGTGGAGAGAGGAGAAGGAGGATTCGAAGGTCTTGAGAGGGGGGAGCTGGTTGGGGAGGTCCTGGTGAAGGAGAGGACCTCGTGGCATAGCTGGTTGTCAACGAGGTAGAAGTCTTCCTGGAGCTTTTCAATACGGGAGGCAGAGGAGTCGGAGGATAGAAAACAACAGAAGAGAATTGGGCAGGGTTGAAATTCGAGGAGAGGAAGGGCTGTGTGGAATTGTGTGGGCTGCCAGCGAATGACGGAAGAAGGCGGTTATGTCGTCGGTTGCCGACGATGACGGAAGTAGGTGGTGGAGTACTATGTTGAGAGATTCAAATTTGAAGGGGACGATTGTTGTGATTTGGGCTGAGTAATGGACTAGGTTGAATTGGGTTAAATGATAATGAGATTGTGTAGTTGGGTTTAAGTGATAAATTTGTAGGTATTTGGGCTTCTTGAAAATAGTGGGCTTTAGGGTTGCCAATTTGTAAAGAATATGACAAATCATGAATAGCAGCAAGGAATAGAATTCGCAGCAGGTATAGCAATTTGAAATTCGTTTATTTTTTCGAAACTGATGAAAATACTAAAAAACTGAATTTTTTGGGCGTGAATAGTACGATGAATAGTAACACTTTTTTTTCACTCTTTTTTTTTTTTTTTTTTTTGACTAACTGAGAAACTGG